CCTCTGTCCTGCCCGGTTGGCCCAACCCAAGCTGCGGACCACCGCTGGGGCCCTTCAGTTCGGGGGCACCCTCAGGCAGGCCCCCGTAGGCTCTATTTTTAAACTTGAAGCATTTGCTATGAGTCTATTTATATCGCTCCCATCTTGAGTTTCTGGTCATCTCCTAATCTGGCCGGAGCCTCCCTCGCTCCGGTCCCTCGACCACTCCAAGGTCAAGTGGGTTGGGAATGGCGCCAAGCACAAGAGAGGCCCACAGCTCACGCAGAGAAGCAGCCCCCGGGGAAGGCTGTAAACATTCCCAATGGAATGAAGATGCAAGAGGCCCACACAGCATGCTGGCAACTTTGGGGTTGACTCAATTCCAGCGAATCACTTCAGGTCTACCTAACGAGAGAACTCTGGGCCCTGTGGACTTGGGAGGACAGTGGCTGGCTGTCCCCAACAGGTCCCCGGCCCTTCAGCCTCTGAGGCCCAGAGTAGATTCGCTTAGTTGGGGCCTGAGTCACTCCAAGAGCGGACTGCAAGAGAGGCTGGAGACATCCAGATGGCAGCCATTGGTTCACTGGGAGAGAGACCTGTCAGACAGAGCCGGTTCTCATCAGCGTCAGGCAGCAAACCCACAGCTCAATCCCCCAGAGCCCCCCTAAAGTCCCCCACCTGCTCACCGCAGTCCTCAGCAGCCTTCAGAGACCTTCTGGGGCCAGGGTTTCCCCTCCCCAGTTGGACAGTTGAAGATGCCTTTAGGAAACCCCTAACCTCTCAGATGAATAATTAACTCTTGTGTTTTCCTACAAAGGTGCCTGCCCTGTGTGAGCTCCTTCACTCGCTCTGGCCCCTAAGATCCTCTTCGACCCATTTTCCAGATGATGAACCTGAGGCCAAGAAGACTCACAGGGTCACACAGCCAGAAGGGGCCCGAGTTGAGAGAGAAAAGCAAAACTGCTAGAGGGAAGCTTCCCGAACCTGTGCTTGGAGACAGTCTCAACCTGTGGTCCCCAGAGCCACCCAAAGACCCCTGAAGGGGTTACTTTAAATGCAGCTTTCGAGCTCCTCTGCTCCTGGAGTCTGATTCCTTAGGTCTGGGAATCTGTGCCTTAGCCAGCACCCTGGGAGACTCCAATCCTGGAGGTCTAGAGTGGGGAGCCAGGGCCCCCATCCCCTCATCCAGGCCTGGCTCCTCAAGCTGCCTGCTCACCCCTGCCAGAGTTGGCAGGGTGACCCCTGCTTTTCTTTTTTTTTTTTTTTTAACATAGGCTCCACGCCCAGCATGGAGCCCAATGTGGGGCTTGAACTCACGACCCCGAGATCAAGACCTGAGCTGAGATCAAGAGTCGGATGTTTAACCGACTGAGCCACCCAGGTGCCCTGTGACTCCTGCTTTTGAGTCAAAACTGACAGGCAGGGGTGCAGGAGTCCGACTCTGCAGACACACGTGAATACACACACACACACCCCCCAATCCAGGAGAGGCATGTCCCCTTCCTGCATCTCCCTGGCTCCTTACCAGAGCAGACTGGCAGGGAGAAACTTTGTTTCTGAAGTTTTTTAGAAAAAACTATCACCCAGAACCCCCAGCATCCCTCACCTCTTTTTTCGCAGAACAAAGGTCCCCGGAGAAAGCTCGGGCTGTCAACCAGCAGGGCCTCCCACCCGCCTCACCCCCCTCCCAGGGGCCATCACCTTCCACAGCTCTGGCCATTCGGTGATTTTGTCAGCTTACACATTTATTGAGCACCCACCGTGTGCCTGCCTTGTTTAGGGTTAATAAAGAAGACTGAGAAGGTCTCTGCCCTGGTGGAGCTCACATTCTAGTGGGAGAGAGGTGATAAACACACAGAGAAACAATGTCACTCTAGGAGTTGAAAGAAAGCAGTGTGGGGAAGGGCGGCCGGCTGTCCACTGTAGATGGGGAAGGCCAGCCAAGCCCCTTGTGAGGAGGTGAGGAGTGAACAGGGGCCTGAGTTCTGGAGGTGATAGGGCAAGGGAAGAGCTTCCCAGGCAGAGGCAGCAGCTGGTACAAAGGCACTGGAGTGAGGATGGGCTTGGCTTAGGAGCTTGTGGCCAGGTCACCTTGGGCCTAGAGGCACTGAGCCTAGGTTTTATTCCAAGTGAGCATGGAGTCAGTTGAACAGCCCTGCCCTCCCCACCCCATCTCACCCGGTTCAAAACAGCCTCCCGTCACTGAATCCAAGTGATTCCAGGGTGGCGAGAACAGAGGTGATTTTCTTTTCCTCTATTCCTGTTGGTGTTTCTAATTCTTCCACACGGGACCCATCTTGTGTAAGAAATTATAAAGGCTGTACAAAATAAAACCTTGCACCATGCACTTTTCAGTGACCTGGCTTGACCCCTGGTCCCCTGTGACACTCCCTCCCCAACTTGCTGTCCTGTTACTGCTCTGGCCTTGAGCCCCTCCTGCTCCTTGAAGTCTGGGGCCCTGTAGGGTGGCTTCCCCGGGGACGGGGGTGGGGCCTGGGGCGCTGGGGCACGTGAGGAGTTTGAACAGCCATACTCTGCGCTCTAATTTTATCCTCAGGAAACAAACCAGAACAGACACAGAACCCGACTGCTGATGCCATAATGCAGGTTCCAAAATATGGGCATTGTGTACTCATTTACTTGGCCTTGACTTCCTTGTTCTCCCTTTCCAGTCTCTCCTGAACTGCCACCAAAGCCCCTGGAGGTCAGGCTGCTGACCCCCAGGGAGTCGGGGCTCACGCTACCTGCCCCAAGCATGACATTAACGCCAAGGCAGGTGCATTCTCTTAAAAAAAAAAATATATATATATATATATATATATATACATAAAATACATTTTTATATAATTTAGTATTTATTTTTTTAAAGATTTTATTTATTTGACAGAGAGAGACAGCGAGAGAGGGAACACAAGCAAGGGGAGTGGGAGAGGGAGAGAGAAGCAGGCTTCCCGCGGAGCAGGGAGCCCGATGCAGGACTCGATCCCAGAACCCGGGGATCATGACCTGAGCAGAAGGCAGACGCTTAAGGACTGAGCCACCCAGGTGCCCCATAATTTAAATATTTAAATAAAAATATATTAAAAATATATATGTAAAGCAGGGCACCAGGGCAGTTGGTTAAGTGACCAACTCTTGGTTTCAGCTCGAGTCACGACCTCAGGGTCATGAGATGGAGCCCCACATTGGGCTCCACGCTCAGTGGGGAGTTGGAGCCTGCTTCAGATTCTCTCCCTCTCCTTCTGCCCCTCCCCCTGCTTGTGTGCTCTCTCTCACTCTTTCTCTAAAATAAACAAATAAATCTTTAAAATATATATATAAATAAAGCAGGTCATCCTTGTTTCCTTCTCAACTGTTCCATAATAATGTTCTGACTTACTGTCCTTTTAAGGCACTTGACTTTCTTCTCAAACCTCTGAAACCAGGGGTAGCTGCTGCAGGCATTGTGCTTTACCTCCGGAGGCATCAGTAACCAGGGGACAAGTGTTCCTAGGGGTGAGTCACCTGGATGTAGTTTAATTGTCGTGCCTTGGAAGCCTTCAGCCACTGGAGTATCCCCACTGTCAACTCCTACCCCTCTTTTGGGTCTGGGCTTCTCCTGGGGCCCACATGCTACTGCTTTTCTGGCTCCTTGCGGTCAGAGGCTGGCGATATTCAAACCCAGGCCTCCAGACCCCTAGTTCAGGGCCCACCAGCCATCACGAGCACTGGACGAGGAGTCAGCAGACCTGGGTTTGGGTCTCTGCTTAATGAATGTTCTATCTAGATTCTAAGAAGAATAAAAGGAAACCACAAGTGACTGTTGGATCCCTTGTGGCCTCTGTATCACCACGGATCACTGCTTAGCTGACATATCCCCTAGTACCAGAAATACATAATCTCTAAAACCTTGGGTACAGATCCATTGTAAACCCCGTCCGGATTTCAGAAACGGTACAGTGAAAATAAAAGAACTGTGTGATCTGCAATCCGGAAACATCGCAGGGAGTGTGGTTCGAACAACAGGACCGTGAAGAAGGAAGTTGGGCCCCGGGCCGAAAGGTGTTATCTCACCCTCATTGTGAAGGAGAAAGTGCCCAGCCAAGTCCAGTCCCAACCGGACAGTCCAGGTCTCTGACCAGGGAGGGGTCCTTGCCACTGCCAATCTCAGGGACTCTCGGGGTGGGGGGGGAAGGGGGGGATGTGGACCGCGTCGGACCCGGCTCCTCCTCTGCCCCTCGTCCCCCCGCCCCCGCCTCCCGGCTCCCCACGACGACCGGAGCCCACAGCCCTCCCACTTGAGCCGGCTCGCCCCGTCCCGAGGCCTCCCGTGCCCCCACTCCGCCGCCCCGCTCTCGGCCCGTCCAGGAACTTGACCCGCTCCACACCCTTCCGCGGCCCCCGCGGCCCCGCAGCGCGCGGGCAGGTGCGGGCCCCCGAGGGGCGCCCCACGGCCCCCTTCCCCTTTCCAGCTCGCTCCCCGCCGCCCCGGGCGCGCTCGGACCCCGATACCCCGCGACTCGCCGCCCGCGGGGTATCACGACTAGTGGTGTCCGAGCCTGGGAGGATCCTGGCTCTAAGCGCCCGCTGTAGCGCTCGTGTCCCCATTACACGGGCAGGGACCCGGGGTTCGGCGGCGGAGTCGGGATCTGGCCCCAGGTCCCCGGGTCCGGTCCAGAGCGAGCACACCCCGCCTCCCGCTCAGCTGACCCGTCTCGCGCACGCCGGGAGGTTCCCGCCCGGCACAGGCCGCGGTCAGGCCCTGGGTTCCCGGGCCCGGCCCCACCGTCCCGCCGCCGCGCGCACCGGGCTGCCTCTCCCGCCGGGAGCGGCGCGGGCGGGCGCACGAAGCGGATTCTTTGTCTGCAGCGCCCGTGCACCTCCCCCGCCCGCCACGTCCCCGCCACCCCGCCCACCTCTCACACGCCCAGCCAATGAGGCGCGGCGACGGCGCGCAGGGCCCGGGGTGTTGTCCGCGCCTTGCCCGCCCATTGGCCGCGTTCTGCATCCCGTCGGGGTCCGGCCGGCAGGCCCGAGGGGCGGGGCACGCGGCCCGAGGTGAGGGACCGCGGGCTGCAGGCGGACAGCAGCTAGGGCCGGCGAGCCGGTCAGCGAGGGACGTGCGCGGACCGAGGACCCGCGCGCTGAGCCGCCGCCGCCGACCCCCGACCGCGGCCGGCCCCGGGCTCCGCGCCAGGAGGCGGCGGCCCGGCCGAGCCCCAATCCAGGGAGCCCGGGGGACCCCCGACGGCGACCCGTCCGGTGAGGGGCCAGAGGAGAAGGACGAGGAGGAAGGGCGGCCTCACCGGGGACCCGGCAATGGCGCTCGACTTCCTGGCTGGATGCGCTGGGGGTAAGGAGGCAGGCGGCTCCCGCCTCGAGCGCCCGATCTCGGGAGGCCGGAGCCAGGCGTGCGGGATGGAAGGCCGGGTCACCTGCGGGCTCTGGGCCCCGGAGGCCCACCCTCTGGCCCGGGTTTCGTCGCCTGCAGAATGGGGGTAACAATGCTCTCGTCTCACGGGGTTCTCGTGGGCGTGAACTGACAGCAGGCCCGGAGGGCGTCTAGCGCGCAGTCCGCCAGGGCACGCGTCGTTTAAGTCCTTCGGGGCACGTCCAGACGAGAGGTCTGGGGCGCCGGGGCAGCACGGTGGCTTGGCCAAGGCGGGGACTGCCAGAAGGATGCCCCACCGCCCCGTGCGCCTTTCTCTCCCGAGGCCTCGGGCACATCTCCCTCACCTGCTCCTGCATCCCCAGCCCGCGCCTACCCGGACCAGGGCTCCCCCCCGCCCCTTCGTCCCCTCCCGGGGCCCGAGAAGTTCGGGGTTGGCTCCACTCTCTTCCCCCGCAGATGTCTGGGCGGGGCTGGAGCCACAGGACGACCCCCTGGCGGACTGGCCTTGGAGGGCACTGAAGGGCGCCGGCCGGACCCCAGGCGCCGAGTCACGCCTTGGCACGCCGCACCTTCCTACGCCGTTCCGTGAGCTGCTGGGGGGCGACCCCACCCAAGGGGCGGCGTGGGCCTGACACGCGGCGTGGACTAGCGCTTGTGCTCACGCGTGCGTGTCACCGGTGTGGGGCACCTTCACCCAGGCGAGGCTGCTAGGGTCCTCCCCAAGCCTGTGTCCCCGAGAGGGCAGCAATCAATGTGCTGTCCTGGCTCTGCTGTGGGGCACCCGGGGCATCAGGCCGGCCACTTCCCTGTTTGGCCTTTCGTTTGTCTGCTTTTCCTTGGAGAGTTAATTTACTCAACTGGTATTAATTGCGAGCCAGGTTTTGCTAACAGGTATTCCCCACCGAGGTGACAGGAGCCGCTGCGTCACCCCGGCTCTGGTCCTGCGCTGATGGTGGGCTTCCCTCCTCCAGCGCTGTTTATCTGCTGTTTATCATCTGCTTGGGTTTTGGCGCTGGGCTCCTGCAGGCAGAGGAAGGACTAGCAATGGCCTCAGGCATTTAAACCTCTGCAGTCTGAGCTTCCTACTCTGGGCAAGAGGAGACTGGTGGAGAAGAGTGTGCGCCAGGGAAATGAGGTGTGTGAAGAGATTTAAGAACTTCCCAGACTGTTACCCAATTGGGCCTCAGGAAACCACCCGGCTGGAGCCTGCAGAAGGGGGAAAACCCCAGGGCTTTTCATAAATGGGTGCATTTCTCCTAAGCCCAGGCCAGAGGAGACAGGAGGGGGCAGCCTCTGCAGATCCAGCTCTCAGCTCCCCTATCCCCCTGTGACCCCACTCTGCTTTTCCTGTTTGCCTCCGGTGGCTGCACCAGCCCCCACCCCTGCTGGCTCCTCCTGGACCCCAGGCCCTCCTCTACCCCCACCCCCACCCCAAGTGATGGCTCAGTGAGGGTGGGCTGTCCCATGGCCAAAGACCCTTCCCAACTTCTTGGGGATTGTGGGTTCTTTCCCCAGAGGGGCAGGATTCCTTCTGATTTCTTCCAGGTGTCCTGGGAGCCCCCTGTGAGCTGTGGGGCTTGGGGCAGGACTACTCATCCTAGGGCCAGGCCTGCATAGGGACCCATCACCCCAGGCACACGTGTTCAGTCACTCGAGGCTCTGGCTCCTGGAATGCCTTCTGTCCATCCTTACCAGGCCCACCTAGGAGATCCTGTGCAGGCTCCAGGGTTGGGGCGAGATAAGAGTCCAGTACCACACCCAGCTATAGGCCACAGCCCCTGCCCCCACTGCCTTACTCGGATCCAGATGCAAGCCTGGGGCTGGTGGTGCGCACCTACCTCCTGCTGTGGGGGGAGTGGAGGCCTGAGTCTCCCAGGTGGATGAGGGTGGAAGTGGCTGCCACAAAGATTCTTTGTGAGGGTCGTCAGCCTCCGCTCCCCGCCCCCTGGGATCCTCTCCTGCTCTTATTTGACTCAGGAGAAACCTTGGTCCTGAGAATCGGAGGAACTGGTGGAATAGTGACCTGATTGTGTCCCCGGCCCGCCTTCTGGGTGGCCCTGGCACGTCTAGCCGTGCAGAGGGACCGTCTAGGAACCATGCGGCGGTAGTCCTATAGGCCCCCGCCTGGTTCCTTCGTCTTGAGCTCCTCCAGGTCTGCAGGCTCAGGGCAGGGTGATGGCGGTGCTTCTCTTTGGTGGCCTGGGGTCCCTCCAGATGCAGATTCCTGGGACAGAGAACAGCACATCCCCTCTGATGGGCTGAGTGTCGGGTCACGTGTTCAGTTTCGCCCTAGGAGGTGGGGCAGGCACCTTGATTGACAGCATCCAGGCGCTCAAGCGGCCTACCCACACTCCCCACCAGGGGGTCCGTCCCAGGTCTTCAGGCCGCTGACACCCTGTGCTCTGAGTGGAGTTCTCCCTGCGCTGGGCGTGGATAGGAGGAGGTGTGGAGAGCAGCTCCATGGTGGGGCCGGGAACCCTGCCTGGGGAGAGTGGTCCCCCCCTCCTACTCTGGAGGGCCATGATGGGATGAGGGTGCCTCTAAGGATCCAGCTTGTGTAAGGCAGTGGGCACTGGCTTTGGAGGTGGAAGAAAGGGTCCACTTGTGTTGCCTCAGTGGCCTGTTGGGGGAGCTGGTCTGGCAGGGCTTCCTGGCTCTCAAGGTAACTGAAGTTGACAAGGCTTTTGGGGGACCGGAAGCCCTCATGGAGGCAGGCCCCAAGGCCCCTCTGTTCCTGTGAATGGGGATGTCCTAGGTGAGGCCCGAAGCCCCTCCCTGAGGGCCGTAAACCCCGCCTCTGCAGAAAGTAGGAAAGCAAATGGCTGCCATTGGAGGCCTTGGTGGGGCCTCCCAACCGAGGCTGGTGGCGTCGGGGCGGGGGGTGGGGGGGGCTGTCACCCCTCCCATCCTGGAGGCTGATGAAGGCTGGTGCCAGAACCCGAGCAAGTCTGGGGCCAGAGGCAGGACGGGTCACCCACAGGAAGGGAACCTCTAGCATTTCCAGTGCGTGCTTCTTGGGGACCCCACAACTGCCCCACAGCTGGAGAGAGAAGCAAGGCCAAACAGCATACCCCAGCCAAGTGTCGGGTTTCCAAAACCCCAGAGAATCAGTCACAGTCCCAGAAAATAAATTCTAGAACTAGGGTGTTCAAATTTAGAAAATTCACAACACGACATAAAAAAGAAGGTGGGTTGCAAAATATAGAAACAAAGTGTGTCTCAAAAGACCAGAGACACAGGTATGGAAGTCTCGAGGGACAAGATGCCTTGGGGATGTCTTTTCATCTTCCTGTGAATGTTAGGGGTTCCAGGAGAAAAAGGTCTGGAGACGATGATTAGGATGAATACCTAAGACTGGAAATTTTCTCTGATCAGAAAAAGGCCTGAGTCTCTGGAGTGAAAGCGCTGGTGTGGTACCAGGCAGGGTTACTTAAAAAAAAAACAACAAGAAGACACACCCTTGGCATCTCGATGACATTCCTGAAATTTACAGATAACATCTCAGAGGCTTCCTGATAGAACGCACAAATTATTGACCAAGGAGAAGAAATGCACTGGCAACAGATTTCTCAGCTGTAGCACCAAAAGCCAGGAGATTCTGGGATATTGGCCTGGGCCTGAGAGCCTCACCAGAGCACAGGACCTTTGTTCCCCGACAGCGTTAACGAAATAGATGATGCAGAGGAGCAGGAATACGGAGGCCATTGCCCTATATGTTACCTCCGAGAAAAAATAGTCCAGAAAGGCGCCAAATGGCAATTGATCAGAGTAGAGACCCCCAGAAGGGGGCAGAGGTGAGGAGGAGCGCGAACAGCTATGAGTCTTGTGGGGTCTCTGGGTGTGGGAGGGTAGGGGGTAGAAGGGGAAGCTACAGGGGTGGGGAACCTTCTTGGGGTGGCTCTTACTGGGGAGGGGTAGCGACAGCGGAGGGGCAGACAGAGCCTTGAGGGGCCACGGTTCTGATCCTGTGTCTACACATAATGCTAAGTGTTAGAAACAAGAAGTAACCTTTAGCTGAACTTAAACATTAACAAGCAGGAGGACAAACGGCAGTTTGCCTGAATCAGCAAAAATGTAGAAAAGAAAAGGAGTAAAAGAATTCATTCACATAAAATAAGATGGAGTCGGGTCAGATGTCCCGTCTTGGCAAAATCAGAGACAGCTTCAGATGGGAGCAGGGACCAAAGCCTAGCCGAGCTGTAGCTCATTTCCAGGAGCATCAAACGAAGTAGTAGGACCAGGTTGAAAATTAACCGTCCTGGGCGCCTGGGTGGCTCAGTTGGTTAAGCGACTGCCTTCAGCTCAGGTCATGATCCTGGGGTCCTGGGATCGAGTCCCGCATCGGGCTCCCTGCTCAGCCGGGAGTCTGCTTCTCCCTCTGACCCTCTTCCCTCTCGTGCTCTCTCTCATTCTCTCTCTCTCAAATAAATAAATAAAATCTTAAAGAAAAAAAAAGAAAATTAACCGTCACAAAGCGATACCAGGCACACGTAACCAAAAAGAAAGCAGGATCGGCAAAGTTAGCACCAAACATAGTGGATTCTAAGGCCCAAAGTATTGAACAGGATGGAGAGGATACCCTACAAAGATCTGCAAGTTATAAAGAGGCAGCACGGTAATCCCCACTATCCCCTGGGCGCCCACCACCATGATACCCAGGCCCAGAAGATCCAGGTTCAAATCCTCACCCCACCAACTTATTAGCTGTGCAACATGGACATATTCTCTCAGCCTCCCGTTGCTCATCTGTAAAATGGGCTAACAGTCCTTTCTTTACAAATAAGAGGGAGAGTTAGTCACATACAAAACTAACAACAGTGAACCCCAGTAGAAACATTACTGTTTGTCACTCAACAAATAGTAACTGTCTTAATTATAAATATTCCGAGTGGTAAAAGGAGAACTTTAAGAGATTCACACACAGAATTCTAGGGAGAAAGGCATGGGAGTTGGTGCACGGGTTTCTCTCCCTCACTGAGCCTCCCTTTCTCCTTCCGTGAATGGGGAAACAAGGTGCCTGATTCCCAGTGATACTTACACCTGAACAGCACTCAGCACTCTGAAAAGTATTTAGGAGCCAATTTGGAGCGTGAGCCTTTGTCCTTCGGGGTAGGGCTGGGGTTTGGGCAGGGCCTGGACTGATGCATATCGTGCATGATCACGGAGTCAGGAGCTGACTCCTTGGGCGTCAGGTGGCTCCCCCGCAGGGAAGGGAGTGGGCAGCCAGTGTCTGCAATACCTCGATGCCTCCATGCCTCGGGCCCTGGGTCAGCACTGCAGGGGGAGGGGCTTGGCAGAGCGGATGCTCACGCCGGAGTACTGGTGAGGGGAGCGAGCCGCAGACGAGTTCCTCGGGAGCTTGGCCAGCTGGTGAGTGTTCGAGTGTGAATTCAAATCTGGGTGACTGTCTGGCCCCAAGTCCAAAACCCCTGGGCCCCCCTGCCGCGCCGGGAGGTGATTGCATGGGGCGGGTGGTGGGGGGAGACAACTTGTTGTCAAATGTGTGAGCAGCAGGGGAGAGAGACACCAACTTTGAATGGCACAGATCCTGGCTCATCCTCAGGGATGTCACCCTCTTACCCCCACTGCTCGGGCAGACCTGAGGACAAAAGAGCTCACAGGGCGCCTGGTAAACGTTCTCTGTTCCCATCAAGCGGCTCCCGTGGTCCTCCTAGCCGGAAGCTCCCCACACTGCGGGTTTCTGAGGCATCTGGGTGACGGTCCTCCTTTTTTCCTCCAGGCGTGGCAGGAGTGCTCGTGGGACACCCATTTGACACGGTCAAGGTGAGTGTCTCGTCACAGTTTTACTCTCAGGTCTTTGTGGAGGCCTAGACGTTGCACCGAGGCCTGCAGGGCTGGGGTGGCCGGAGGCCCCTTTCCAGTGACCACCTTAAGAACGCCTGTGAGGTCTTCCCACAGGTTCTGGAATAAAGGTAGACTTAGGGTTGTGTGACACCCAGGAGGACGGCTGTGGGTCCACTTTCTTTCTGGGTCTGGCCTTACATCTCCCAGCTCGGGGCTGAACTTGGAGGTCCATGGTGGTGGCCCCTGAGACTGAGAGTCTGAAGGGCAGGCTTCCCCTTGCCCAGAGCGGGGGCTGCTCACTGTTCTGATGCAGAAGCCCCCCAGACATCTTCTTGAAAGAAAGTGCAGTTTAGAGAGAAAATACAGAAAGACAGAAAAACCAGAACCTGTATTTCCCGTGAACATGATCTTCACTGAGTGCTGATCTCCACTGGCGTGAAACTGAGCGATCAGTTCCCAAGGGCTGGTGTGCGCGTGCATGGAGTTCGTGGCTCCAATGTGGGGCCCTGGGGCGGGCACTCAGTCTGCAGCTCCTCCTTGATAAACTGTCCAGATCCAGGTGCTCAGAGGCTCACGATGGAAACAAAGGAAATCCATGTTTTCCAGCTGGAAATTCCCAAATAGGATTTTCTCCCTGTTGCTGGGGCTTTAGGTCCTGAAACCAGCCAAGTCTGGACTTTCCCTTGCAGGCTTCCCCCGGGAATCAGGGCAAGCCGTAAGCAGCAGGGCACTAGGCCAGACCCTGTGACCCACTGTAAACACTGAACTTGGCAGTGCCTACCAGGGACAGCGAAGGCAAGGATGTCAGCCCTAGCTGGGTTTGAGCTTACTTCCTGTCCCCTCTTTTTTCAGTGGCAGTCAGGTGGTCCTTGGGCAAGAAAAGGCCTCAGGACCTCAGTGCTGGGGTTGCCTCCAGCGCAGGCATGACGGCCTAGCTAGATGTTTTGGCTCTGACCAGAACAAGTTCTGCCCAAGGTTGTGTGCAGGTCCAGGACCCCCGCTAGCCCATCTGCTGTGTGACCTTGGGCCAGCTGCTTTACCTCGGGGCCCAGGGATCTCATCTGCCAAGTGAGGCGTTGGGCAAGATTACGGAGGCTCAGTCGTTAAGCGTCTGCCTTCAGCTCAGGTCATGATCCCAGGGTCCTTGGATCGAGCCCCACATCAGGCTCCCTGCTCCGCGGAGGCCTGCTTCTCCCTCTCCCACTCCCCCTGCTTGTGTTCCCTCTCTCATTTTGTCTCTGTCAAATAAATAAATAAAATCTTAAAAAAAAAAAAAGATTACAGAGGCCCTTGTGGTGCCGGGTGCTCAACAGTCAAGTTTGCGTTGCATGAAATGCTAGTTCTGCAGAGCACAGATCTTCTATCCAATCGTATGCAATTTAAGGAGAAAGCGGAAGGACCAGGCTTTCTTGCCACACAGTGGCCCGTGTTCCTACACAGCCTGCCTGTCCTCACAGCTGCCTGAGCGCTGCCCAGATGGCTGCCCCGTGAAGCCTGCCCATAGGCCAGAGCAGTCTGGGAGAGCCTGGCACTGTCCGCACTCTGCTGGGTTTATATCTTGCAGTCACATGTTGTAAATGCCTCTGTATCCGGCCGTGAAGTGACTCTGGATTCACTTCCTCAGCCCAGCGTTGCAGGGGCCACACCTCTCTGAGCCATGACTTGGCCTGGGCATGGCCAAGCCCCCCTCAGCCAGCCCTGTTCCCACTGGGCCCCCTCCTCAGTTCCCCCAGGCTGGGGAGGACTCTGTCCTGGGGTCTCTGGCCCCCTTTGAGCTCCTGGGCCATGACCAGCACCCCCGGCAGTGATTGGGGACCAGGAGCCTCTCCGCCCCACAGGGCTCCTGCCCCTTAGATACCCCCCCTTACCTCGCCCCTGGAGGGTGGTCTTTGAAGAAATCCATTGGTGACTGTTTTTGGCCACTGCGGCCCACCTGCATCAATCGCATCTGGGCAAACCTGACTTTAAAAACCAAGCTTCTTACGGATAGAAAAAAAAACCCGTCCCCAGTAATCCCCTCTGTCACTCAACTTGTGACCCCTCTCGTCCTAGTTATGGGCTCACACACTATTACATTGTGCTGATCAAGGAACACGCGCCTTTGGTTTAATTTAATGCTGTGTCACCAATGGCATTTTTTTTTAAAGATTTTATTTATTTATTTGACAGAGAGAGAGAGAGAGAGGACAAGCGGGGGGGTGGGGGGAGTAGGGAGAGGCAGAGGGACAATCAGATTCCCTGCTGAGCAGGGAGCCCGATGCGGGGCTTGATCCCAGGACCCTGAGATCACAACCAGAGCCAAAGACAGATGCTTAATCGACTGAGCCACCCAGGCGCCCCCCTCCACCAATGGCCTTATTTTTTACTGGCTCTTTTCCAGTATAAAAGTTAAACAATTCTCATTAAAAGAAAATTGGGAAAGGTAGAAGAGCACCTTATTTCCTTATACTGACAAATCGGTTTTCCCATTCTGTACATTCCTTCAGGACCGCCCCCCTCCGCCATCGTGCCTGCCATGGGCATGTGATATTTTTTCAAAATGTGTTTTAATCATCAGGTACACACACAGTTATTTGGTTGGCTTTCTATTACAAAAGTAATGTAGGTTGTAAAGAAATTTTTAACCATTATAGAGACATATAAACTAAAAAGGAAAAAGAAAAACCCAGTCCTTCATAGATCTCTTCCCCAACCCTCACCCGGATATATTCCTTGTGTTTGGCAAAAGTGGGATTTACTTCAATAGCTCTGTTGTTGTTTTAACTGAAATGTAACCATGTAGAAAAGTACACACGTGCCAAGCGTATGAATCTACGAATCATCATCCTGAAGCACAAGCCTGGGGAGCGCAGAACAAGGTCTGCCCCCCAGAAGCCCCCCCCAGTCCCCCTAGCAACCCCTCCACTTCTACTACCTGGGACAGGAGAGTAATCAGGGACAGTGGGTCTAAAACCACTTTCACCGGGGAGTGGCCTTCCCAGGGCAGGGGAGGGGGTGGGGAGGTCGGGGGCTGGGCCTTGGGGGCTCCCCTGGATGTGATGTTGACATTTTATGTTGCTTTAACCGCCTTTACTTTCTGAGCTAGGGGCTGTCTCCATCCATAGCAAAAGTGTAACTTTGTTGTAGATGAGCGTAAGCCTCACCCTGGAGAGCGCTAGTAAGTACAGACCAGGGGAACCCGACCCTTCTCTGTCCTCGCTGAACCAGACCCTGGGCCTGGACCGCACCCTGCCACACCCCTCCCCTTCCCCACCCCACACAGTTCCGTCCTTGACTAGCAGGGGATAGGGAGGGCGTGAAGTGAGCTTGGGCCCGGCACAGGTCCTGGGGCGGGGACTCAGGTGGGGCTGGTGGAGAAAAATCAGCCCCGTCTGGATCAGAGGGTCTACGTTGGGCATCTCTCAGCCCAGTGGAGAGCTGGGAGCCTTTTGGGCATGTGTGCGAACGACCACTTTTCCAGGGGCGGGCCCATCAATCCTCAAACGGGATGTTAACCTCAACTCTAGAGATTACAAGACTTGGGCCCCATTTCACCCCCAAACCTGGTCCCCCAAACTCCCAGCCAGCGAGTGCTCAGCCCAGGTCCAGGGGTCAGAAACAAAGGGGAGAGGGGCCTCCGTGCTCCCTGTGGGACCCAAGCTGGCCTGAGCCTGGGCAAGAGCATGTTCAACCTGCAGAGACTTCAAGCTGACATCCACGTGTGTCTGAAAATCCCACCCAAGCAGGGCCCGCCTGGCCCTGCTTCCTGTCATTTCTGCTCACACGGCCCATTTAGTGGCTGCATGAGAAAGAGAAATGTCCCACCAGAGACCCCAGAACACAGAAGGGAAGTGAAAAACCTCACATCCCAAAAACAACCTGAGCAGAGCTCAAGGTGTTAATATGTTAAGTGTTAAGGTGTTAATATGTCATTAATATGTTGCCCAAGCGCTTTTGCTTTTCTCCACTGAAAATCCACCCCTCCCCCACCAGGCCGTGGCCCAGCTGGGCCGCCAGGGTGGGAAGGGGCGCTGGGGTGACCTGCTGCAGGGTGCACTCGCTTGTCAGCCGCTTCTCAGAGCAGTGGCCGCCAACTGCAGAGGTCCTCGTGTGCAGAGATGGTGCTTTTTTGTTCTCAGAACATGTTCTTTTGAAAGTACGTTTGGCAAGAGAAGATCCACTGGAAGGCTCTTACCAGCCAGCACCCCACCCCGCTTTGGCCGCGACCAACGCAGCCGAGCCACTCCTGTTGCTGGAGTGGACAGACAGCCTTGGCCGAGTTGCAAAACATCTCTGAGCCTCAGTGTTCCCACCTCTGAAGTGGGGGTAACTACACCCACCTCGGCTGATGATTCCAGGGGTAGGCCCTCCGGTGCTGCCGACCACAGAGGGGTGTTTGTGCTGTGGCCCTGGCTGTGGTATAGTGATTTCTGAGTCAGCTCCTGAGAACAGGACTTAACCTGGCTCACCCCCCACCCCCATGACCTGGATTCTGAGTTCGGGAAATGTGCTCCCACTCCGCATTGTGGAGCCTGTGTATCAAGTGCAGAGATAAGCTCTCCGTCAACAAAGAATACTTTCACATTAAGAGGTTCTGGACTACGGGGCGCCAAGGGCAGCTGGGCCTGAGCCCCCAGGTCCCAAAGGTGGGGACATGGTCACCAAGGAGGCTATCAGCTGCTCTCCTGTCACTGCTTTGTTAACTCACGACCACTGTCCTCACAAGGGGCTACTGGCAGAAATTAGGGGTCCCTCAGAGTCCAAGGCTCAGTGCTTTTAACACCCACTGTGGCACTGTCAGCCCCTGTGGGGAGCCCCTCTGGCATCGGCCACTGTTGCCACCAGGACAGTGGGGAGATCTGGGAAAGTGCTTCGTGTCCCACTGCCCAGACATCGTGCAGACATAATGCAACCAGAGGCTTAGCCTCTACTTGTCTGAGATCTCAGGGACCCTCTCCCCCCATGCAGCTGGCTGTCTCTGTGGCTCTTTGCCCACCGATACCCTCCCCTGAAGAGGCATGGACACCCGGCCCTGCCCCATCCCGCAATTCCAAAGGCCACAGAAAGCTACTTGGCTCCCTGCCTCCAGCGTCCAGCCTTGGGCCTCCCCCCAGAGAGCCTCCGCGGGCTGTCCTGAGTGCTGGGGCAAGAGAGCTGGGAGCTCTGGCTTGGCTCGCCCACCTTTCACTGGGCCCTGTCCTTGCAGGTGCGGCTTCAGGTCCAGAGCCTGGAGAAGCCTCAGTACCGAGGGACCTTGCACTGCTTCCAGTCAATCATCAAGCAGGAGAGCGTGAGTGGCCTGGGCCTGGGGGTGGCGGTGGGGAACCAGCTTCTGGAATGCGTTGGGCCCCAGACGGCAGAGTTGGAAAAGACGGTGCCCTCCCCCCGCCCTCGCTGCCCCGCCCGGGGGACTATGGGCAAATGAGGACTTGGGAAATGGGAAGGTGCGAATGCCCAGGCCTCGAACCTCGAGGACATGGGTTCTAGCAGAATTCGGCTTGGTCCTCTCGAACACGCGGGGTGCCGGGGGGGGGCGGCCCAGGCAGGAGCAGGAGCGCGCGTGACGCGTGTCTGTGCGCCCCCCCCCCCCCGCAGGTGCTGGGCCTGTACAAGGGCCTGGGCTCGCCCCTCATGGGGCTCACCTTCATCAACGCGCTGGTGTTCGGCGTGCAGGGCAACACCCTGCGGGCGCTGGGCCGCGACACGCCGCTGAACCAGTTCCTGGCCGGTGCGGCGGCGGGCGCCATCCAGTGCGTCATCTGCTGCCCCATGGAGCTGGCCAAGACGCGGCTGCAGCTGCAGGACGCGGGGCCGGCGCGCACCTACCGCGGCTCGCTGGACTGCCTGGTGCAGATCTACCGGCGCGAGGGCCTGCGCGGCGTCAACCGGGGCATGGCGTCCACGCTGCTGCGCGAGACGCCCAGCTTCGGCGTCTACTTCCTGTCCTACGACGTGCTGACGCGCGCGCTCGGCTGCGAGCCCGGCGACCGGCTGCTGGTGCCCAAGCTGCTGCTGGCGGGCGGCACGTCGGGCATCCTGTCCTGGCTGTCCACCTACCCCGTGGACGTGGTCAAGTCGCGGCTGCAGGCCGACGGGCTGCGGGGCGCCCCGCGCTACGGCGGCTTCGCGGACTGCGTGCGCCAGAGCTACCGCGCCGAGGGCTGGCGCGTGTTCACGCGCGGGCTGGCCTCCACGCTGCTGCGCGCCTTCCCCGTCAACGCCGCCACCTTTGCCACCGTCACCGTGGTGCTCACGTACGCGCGCGGCCCCGAGGCCCGGCCCGACGGCGAGGCCGTGCCCGCCGCCGCGTCGGGGCCCGGCCTGGCCCAGCCCTCCAGCCTGTGAGGCCGGCGCCCGGGCGCCGCGGGCTCCGGACGCCAGCGGGCCTGGGCTGCCTTCCACGCACCGGCTGGTGGGGGGCGGGGGGGGGGGGGCCCTCGCCCACAGGCTTGACGTCGGCGGGGCCCTCGGCCGGGAGATAGGGAGCCTCCTACCCGCACTGTCTGGTCGCCGAGCTCAGAGGTGACGGCGTGTAGCGCCCCCGCGCCGAGCCTGGCGCTGTCACTTGGGGTCTTCCAGAAAGCCCGCCGACGCTCCAGCCCTTTCCCGGGATCCGGGCCGCCACGACCGTGGGGTCTTTGACGACCCACCGATGGGCCACCCAGCGGCTAACGTCCAATCGGCCACCTGGCCGAGCTCCAGGGGGCACTTCTGGGCCACCTGTCCGGTCTCTGTATTAGGGACGGAGAGGCAGCTCCGGGTGCCTCCTGGTGCCTCCTGGTGTCCCAAGACATAATACTCTGCTGTGATGCACTCCAGCTTCTCCATGTGGCACAGCTGGGAATGTCCCCGACTGGCGGCTCCATACTAGCCTAGGGGCTGGGCTGGGGGCCCAGGCACAGGCCAGTGGGAGGGGAGCTTAATGGTTAAGTCCGGCCGCGGGAGGGGAAGGCTTGTCACCCTCTGGTCCTGAGGCTGCCCGTCTGTAAAATGGGGACATGGGTCAGTCACTGTGTGGGGCTCCGGCCACTGGCCAGGGTTCCCTAAGCCGTGCAGAGGAGTCATCAAGGAGATCGGTACAGGAGGATCCCCATGCCCCAGCAAATGATGTCTCTCCCAGGGAGTCTCCTCCTGCTTGGTATTCCCGTGAGGCTGTGGAGGAAGGCCTGTTAGTGGACACAGTACAGCGTGGCCATGTATTTGCACAGGGAGGCAGATGGTTTTGCACAAGTTGGAGATGACTATGGCCTCCTTTGCCCTGAGTGGGGCTCAGCCTCTTGGGGAACGTGATATGCTCTCCCAGGAGGCTGACTTGGGTCAAGGAAGACAAGACTCCCACCCTCTTCTCGTGGTGTCATTGTTGTATAGAAACCACTGAAGGAATAAAATATTCTTTGTTTTCTTAAGAGTGTGGCCTTGTTTGTGTCCATTCCCACCCCCTCCCTGGGGTCAGAGGGGCCGGCTTGGTGGTCTCTGCTCTCGGGCCCTGATGGCAGCCCGAGGTGCATGACCAGGGCACGCTCCAGTGTCCGTCCAGACCCTCAGTTTCCTCATCTGCAAGATGGGGCTGATGTAGGCATGAGGACTAGGTGCGCAAGCTCACAAACGTGCTGGATGAAGTGTTAGCCGTTCAGCAAATGCTCCTCAGATGTCTGCGGTTTCCCAGCAGTGAGAGGCCCGGGCCCTGCTCATCCTCCACATGGGCTGGCCAGGCGGTGTGTGCTGTGAGCTCTTTGGGGTATGGAGAGGTGTGGTCAGGGCACAGAGGGGACACTCGCTGAGGCCAGAAACAGCCTCCCGGAGGAGGGAGGTCTAAGTGGAGCTCTCAGAGGTGAACGTGCCCACCCGGGTGCCGACTTGACAGGGAACTTGAAGGAGTTTCCCTCGGCCGCCATAACCAAATCCCACACGCCGTGTGGCCCAAACTGACGTTAATTCTCGTGAAGGTCCGGGATCCCGGGGCAGCCGCGGTGCTCCTTCTGAGGCTGCCCAGGGAGCATCCTTCCCCGCCTCTCCCAGCACCTGGCGGTGGCCGGCAACCCTCAGCTAGTAGACATCCTGCTCCAGTCTGCCCCTCCATCCCCACTTGGCCGCCCCCCGGGGCATCTCTGTCTCCTCTGTTTATCAGGACACCGTCGCTGGCACATGGGCCCAGCCTCCTCCAGGATGACCTCAGTTTGACTAATAACATCTGCAAAGGCCCTGTACCTAGGCTGAGGACTCCAACCTAATCTTTTTGGGGGACACAATTCAACTCACAACAGAGAACTTCTCCCTGACGAGTGTGTTCCAGTTGGCCACGTTTTTGTTAATAGTTGCGTGGCATCTCAGCAGATAAGCACTCCTTACATTATTTATCCCTCTAGGCTCGGGACAGTCCTCCCGGAGATATCTGAAGTCTCAGCGGGGCAGGAGCCCACCGGGCCACGGAGGGGACAGTGGGGCTGGAGCCAAGGGATCAGATGGAGCCGAGTCCATGGGCGGAGGGCAGAGGGCAGCGGGAAGGGCAGCAAGGCTCGCTGCAGCGGCCGTGAGGTTGGAGAGGGCCGCCGGGCCAAGTCACGTAGCAGCACTGAGCCTCCTAGGTGCCTACCTAATAGCCACCCTGCCCTTTTCTAATGGAACCCAGTATGTTCTGGGCTTCAGCGTGTCTGGATGAAAATACCCTTCCAGACTCCCTTGCAGCTGGAGGTGGCCACGTGTCCCAGATCTGGTCAGTGAAAGCAGTGGCTGGGGCTTCTGAGGAAGGTTTGTAAGAGGGACAAATGCACCATGGCACATCCATGACTTCTGACCCAAGGAAATGGGGCTGGGATGCCTGCAGGGACAGCGGAGGAGGAAGCAGCCTCGGTGGACCCCTGGGCCAGCCTGGTCAGCTCCTTCCTTGGGTTCTCCGCCTTGCATCATGGCCACAGCCAGGAGTTTGCTGGTTTTCCCTGGGGCAGTGATAGGCTCTGGCTCATGCCTTAGAGACCCCACAGGAGGCCATGAGGTGCATGGGCCACAAGGGTGAGAAGAGGAGGCCTGGGTGTGTGCGTGTGTGTGTGTGTGTGTGTGTGTGTACCAAAGGGCATCTCAAGGTTGGGAAGGGAAGGCTCCAGCACAAGCAGGCAGGAGCACGCAGGAAGGAACAGTGATGGATGAAGCCGCCATGGCTGTTTGAGGGAAACTGAGCCAACAGAGACTGTCCTCCCCAGATTTCTCCAGTGCTGGAGGCCAGCGTGCACACACAGGCACGGATTGCTTTTTTCCCTTTTTCTCCCTCTGGGCCCCAGGTGCAAGGAATGGCTACGGCGGCGTCCCTCTCCCCGCTCTCCTCACTGGCTGCTTTCACGGGGCTATTCAGCGGCACTCGTAAATCAAGAGCCCCTCGTCCCGGGCTGGCCCCCTCGACTCCTGTGGTCCCCTGTGGTCCGCTCGCCAAGTTCTGTGGCTGCAGGGGACGACAGCCTGGAGTGACAGTTCAGGCACTAGAGGGGCAGGAAACTTGGACAGGCCCGGGACCCAGTCTGGGTGCTCCTTGGTCTCCGCTCCCTTTTGGCAGTGGCCCCCTACGCTGACCTCCTGACACCCACCCACCCTGGGGGCGGGGGAGGCTGGTGCTGGTGTCCACTGTGTCCTGGGCACACCGGAGAAGGGGCAGTGGCTGCTGGGAGCCCAGCTTGCAGGGGAAACTGGCTCCAACCCTGCCCTGGCCACACTGTGCCAGGGCTAGCTGACATCACTCGGGCTGTGATGATCAGTCTTCCTCTAAGGAAGCCCCCCCGAGGGCAAGGCCATGGTGCTTCCATAAAGTTTCCGGGAAAGGGTACGTGCTGCCAAATGGGAAGCCTGGCAGGAAATGTCTGCAGTGCCAAGCTGGGTCTCATCCCCTGAGCTCCCTCCCTGTGTCACCATCATGTGGCTCTCAAGGGTGGCAGGCTCCCTGGCCTGGTGAGCAGACCCTGAAAGCTTCCCTGGGGGCATCCAGGCAGGTTTGGGTGGCAAAGTGAGCAGGACTAATACCCGAGTGTACGGTGGCGGGGGAGGCCACCAGGACAGGCCCCTTGGGAATTCCGGTTGGAATGTCCCCATGGATGGTGGGAACATTCACTACAATGGGAACACAGGACAGGGAGCAGACATGGGGGTACCCGCTGGGCCTCCGGGTGTGAAGAACGTGTTGAGTGAATGTGTGAATGGGTGGGTGCATGAGGGCAGAGGCTGCTGGGTACAGGGCCAGGTGGGGTTCTGCCAGGAGAGTCAGAGGGGCAAGGGGAGGCAAGAATGTAGGAGGGAGTGAAGCCAGGACATGGGGCTTGGAGCGGAGGGTGGTGAAGACCTCTTAGGCTGGGGACTCCCAGCTTGTGACTGCGGTGAGACCCTGGGGAAGCAGGAGGGGCAGAGAGCAGGACCCCAGGACGGAGACCAGAGTGGGCAGGTGTCAGTGAAGACAAGGTTTGGGAGCCCCTATGGCAGTGGCAGGCTAGGGTCACCATAAGGAGGCCAAGAAGAGCCGGGCCAGATGGAGATGGACCACCCCTGGGGACTAACGGGTGGGGGCCAGTGACCGGGCATTAGAACCGGGTGACAGCAGCAGCGCGGCGTGTGGAAGAGCAGGTGAGACGCCAGTGGACGTGGTCTGTTGCGGGGTAACCTTGGCCCGCCGCCGCCTGCGGTACGGAGTGTGGAGAGCTTCCCGCCCCTTCCTCCCAAACCACCACACTGAAGCCCCCTGGCCTGGGCCGCTCCTCTCCCACTTCACCCAGGACAGGCGTGGTCGGCCACGGGGGACCTCTGTTCGCCCTGCCCCACCTCCGGGGGAGCCACCCCCTCCGCGGCCTGGGGGGTGCACCCGGAGCCCTCCTGGAATGGCTCCCCTGCCCTCCGGCCTCTCCCGGCGGCCGCTGGCTGGCAGCAGGAGCCTCCGCCTCCCGAACTCTCGCGGCCCGGGCTACCCTCCCACACCTCACTAGGAAACAAGCCTCCCATCCCGTGCGGGGGAAGATGACGCCCCTGGGACCCAAGGTCATCCGCACGCGGGTCTGCGCCCCACCCACCAGCCGTGCTCCGGCCCCCGGCAAGCTCAGCGGCAGGCGACGCCGCGCGGGAGGGGCCCCTCAGCGTCCCCGCGCCAGCCGGCTCCGGAAGTCGCCCGGCGCCCCCAGAAGAGCCGGCTTTCCGGGGGTCCCGGCTGCCGACCGCGCGCACGCGCACCTGCCCCCCCCCCCCCCCGCCCCGCGCGGCTCCGGAGCGGCCGGGCGCAGCGCCCCCCGCGGCCGGAGGTGGAGGCGCACAACTCCGGAACCCTCAGGCCCCGCGCGGCCCCGGGAGGGAGGGCAGGACAGGCAGGAGCCACCGCCGGGGCTGGAGACTCACGGGGTCTCGAGCCA